AAAAAAAGGGGGAGAAGGAAGTTACGAAAAAGTGAAACAAGGTGAGAAGAAGAATAGAAGAAAGAAGAGAGAGAAAATAAAAATAAAACAAAATAAATTTTAGGTAGAAGTGCAATATTTTATACATGTTCTAGTAAATTTATAAATATTACTATAATAGGTGTATATAACAGATATTTATGGAAGATATTTTTCATGCTTATCTTTGGTATCTAAATATTTGGTTTGATATGATTTTATCTTTTGTAATCTATATATATTCTTTGTAAACTCTTTCTACGAGAAATATAACAGCTTCTTCTTTTCTCTACTATCATGTTTTCTTTTATGTTTTTAGCATGGTATCAGAGCGGTGAATTTTGCCGCAGACCTCATACCTAAAAATTTTTCACTATCATCATATTTTTCTTTCTTCCATCATGTCAACCAACACTGAATCTCAATCAAAATATAAAACAATCTCACCATATGATATCACGTCGAGTGATAATCCCGGATGCTTGATTTCTACGGTTCTCCTCACAGGCCAAAATTACATCGAATGGTCCTCTTCGCTTTGTACGGATCTCCGGGCACGCAAAAAGTTCAGTTTTCTCGATGGTTCTATCTCCACACCGGCCGACAACGCTCCGATCCTCGAAGATTGGTTTGTCAATAACTCGATGTTGGTCTCGTGGATAAAGAATACGATCGATCCGGCACTTCGACCCTCTATCCCGCAAATTGAACTCGCCAAAGAATTATGGGATCATCTTCGTCGCCGTTTCTCCGTTATTAACGGCACTCGAATTCAGCCATTGAAAGGTGAATTGGCTTCTACAGTGCAAAAAGGAATGACTATCAGTGCATACTACGGCAAGCTACGCATGATATTTGATGAATTGAATTCTTACCAACCACCGATCGCGTGTACCTGTGGACATGCCCGTGAATTCGAGGCTCATCGAGACGCAGAAAAAACCCACCAATTTTTATTGGGCCTGGATAAAGAGGTGTACGGGTCGGCTCGCTCTAGTCTTCTGGCCCAAGATCCTTTGCCCTCTTTCGAACGGGTCTATTCTGTCATCTCACAGGAGGAAAGACTCTCCTCTCCATCTGCTCCGACGATCGATGTAATGAGTTTCGCCACCACTGTTCCACGCCAATCGTCCTCCCACTCTTCAAGGTCTTCTCGCCAGTGCAATGTTTGTGGCCGATCTGGACATGACACCACAGTTTGCTTTCGAGTAAAAGTCTGCCCCCATTGCAACCGCACGGGTCACGATCCACGCCGTTGTTTTGAAGTTGTTGGCTATCCTGCAGGTTGGTCCGGCAAATCTCCAGCGACTCCGTCTACCGCCGCGTCTTCGACGGGAAAAGGTGAATCGATTGGCACCTCTTCATCTTCTGCTGGTGGTGACCGACGACTTATTCCTTCAGTCTCTGCCAAAGCCCACGCTGCCACTATTGTTGGGACAAAACCTGTTGGGCCCGGTCATGTTGGGCCAAGTCATGTTGGGCCAAGTCTTGCTAATTCTGCTATCCAATTTGGCTCTTATGGGGCTAATTCTGTCCCGGCATCTACAGGTTTGAGTCCGGATCAATGGCAGGCGCTAGTTAATCTCGTTCGCCCTAATAATTCTGATACTACCATTTCTAATCATTTAACTGGTAAGGATTATTCTCATAGTTGGATGTATGATTGTGGTGCCACACATCATATGACTGGATATTTTCAGTATCTTGTTGATATTTGTGATATTTCACCTCGACCAATGCAGCTTCCTGACGGACAATTGACTATTGCGACTAAAGCCGGCAAAGTTCGCCTTAGTCAAACTTTGGTCTTGATTAATGTCCTTTTTGTTCCTAGTCTTAAATGCAGTCTCATTTCGTTGTATCATTTGTTAGACGATCATGGGTGTATAGCCCAATTCACTAATGTTGATTGTCTAATACAGGACCGTACTACGAGGACGGTGATTGGTCTGGGTGAACAAAAGGGGGGGTTATATTTTTTTCTTGATCCTATGAAGACGGTGACGACTCGAGTATCTGTTGGCGGATCTATGGACTTGTGGCATCGACGATTGGGTCACCCACCTTCACAGGTTATTGGGAAGCTTTGTAATTTATCTCCTTCTCATGATAGTAGTTTTACCAATAAAGCTTGCCGTTGATATGCAATTTTTGATCAACATGGGGGTTCAGAATATTGAATGATTTGTTCTTCATGTTCTTGAAAGAAATCAGAAGATATAGAGAGAAAGATAAGAAAATGATAGTAGCCCCTCAGACTTATCTGTCTGACGTCCATCATTGGGGTATATATATATATTTTTGGTGGGCCCGATATTATTACAAGCGGTGTTATTTGTGGGCCCTAAACTAAAACAATTTATATAATACATATCCACGTGTAATATTTTAATAAACGAGGCCAAAATTGGGTATTAACAGTAGGCCCCTGACTTTAGGACATGTTCTGAATAGAACTTTCTGAAGTCACGTGTATAGCCAATTTAGCTGTATAATTGTTGGCCGGGTGCTTTGGGACCCGTAAATGTTTCGTGGATCGCTTTCAGGCTTTGGCCTGTCATATTGACGGTAATCATGTTTTTTTGTTCTGACGAGTGGATTCGACTGCGTGGATAGTCAACTATATAAAAATGATATATGAATGGGGCCTGGTTGGCCTGGTAGGGTAATTCGGTACCCGGTTGTCGTGTGTAATAGGACACGTTGGATGGATTTGCTTCTGCAATGATGATAATAGTATGGTAATTCGGTACCCGGGGCCCTTGTTTTGCTATCGATCTGTATGCAAAGATGTTATTGATATGATATATTTGCCCACCGAATTGAAGAACTCGATTAGGAATGGATTTTCTAGTCCTAACTCGGTTAAAAATGGATTTTCTAGTCCTACCCAGCTGAAGAACTTGGTGAAAGTAAATATTTTAGTCTACCGAACTGAAAAGTTCGGTAAAGGCATGGGTATCAGCCTTACCAAGCTGAATAATTTGGTGTAAGTAAAGGCCTTACCATACCGAGCTGAAGAACTCGGTGTAATGATTTTTTCTTTCGCATATTTCCCAGCCGGATAGGTCTTATTGACTTTGCCTAACCAGTGTGGGCCCAAACAGATAAAGACGTTTGGTTTATTGTATTCTTTTGATTTGGACGTTAAGATGTATGTCCGATGCGTATATGTAATGAATGTATGTGTGACGCGCGTATGTATGAATGTATGAATGCATTACTGAGTATGTCGATGCGTAGTGCGCATGTGTAGTAAATGATTAATGTACGATGAATAAGGATACCTCGATATTTTGTCGAGTCTGAGTTCCTTTTCTGAGTCTGATGTCATATTCTGGAAAGTCGGTATTATGGAGAACCGACAAGCAAGTTGTTTTGAACTTGCAATACTCGACACTGTTCAGGTTGTGTCTGAGTTGAAAAATGAAGGGTCACCGAACTTCGTCACGGTTCGATTACAGAACGGCCTCAACCGAACCAAGTGAGCTCGGCTGTCAATGAGACCTCGTCAAATCATGTTTGCTGAAGTGACGTGAACGAGCTTTAGCCCAACCAAACCATACGTGGGATTTGGATGTATTACGAGGCGTCAGCTATAAAGGGAGTCACTGAACTTCGTCACGGTTCGATTACGGAACGGCCCCAACCGATTTGTTTATTTTATATTCGGTGATTATCGGGACCCGTCAAATCATGTTTGCTGAAGTGATGTGGACGAGCTTCAACCCCAACCAACCATGCGTGGGATTTGGATGTATTACGGAGTATCAGCGAAACCGAGTGTCATAATGTTTATATCGGTACCGAGCTGTTTGTCGGATTTTTTTCTGATAATTCTTTTTTGCGGCCGGAGTAGGGGCTCGACGGTAGGACAATACGGAGCAGAGGCTCAACGTAGGAAAATATAGACTTTCGCTCAGTCGGAGTCGAAGCTCAACGGCGAGAAAATAGGGAAGGCGTCTCAGTCGGAGTCGAGGCTCAACGGTGAGAAAAATAAGGACGTCAGCTCAGCCGGAGTCGAAGCTCTACGGCGAGAAAATGTGGATGTCGTCTCAGCTGGAGTCGAGGCTCAACGGCGAGGAAATAGTGACGTCGGCTCAGCCGGAGTCGAGGCTCAACGGCGAGGAAATAGTGACGTCGGCTCAGCCGGAGTCGAGGCTCAACGGCGAGGAAAATATGGACGTCGGCTCTGCCAGAGTCGAAGCTCTACGGCGAGAAAATATGGACGTCGTCTTAGCCGGAGTCGAGGCTCAACAGCGAGGAAATAGTGATGTCGGCTCAGTCGGAGTCGAGGCTCAACGGCGAGGAAATGTGGACGTCATCTCAGCCGGAGTCGAGGCTCAACGGCGAGCAAAATATGGACGTCGGCTCTGCCGGAGTCGAAGCTCTACGGTGAGGAAATAGTGACGGGTAAAAGAAATGATCAGCCTTAGTGTGAATGAGTGGGTCAGAATGGCTCTGGCATAAATCAATGGCTCCGGCTCCAGCATATATGAATGAATTCAGCCCCGTCATAAATAAATGAAGTCAACTCCAGTGTCGAAAAACAAATTCGGTCTCGGTATAGATAAGTGAAATCAGCTCCGACGTTGATAAATGAATTTAGCCTCGGCATTAATAAACGAAATCGGTCCCGTCGTGGGTTTGGTGTAGCTCAGTTCGGTTTGGTTTGGGCAATGAAGAGATTAGCCTAGCCATGTGTTGCGGACTTGCCTTTGGAAACGGACAAACCCGGCCCCAGATTATGAAGAATTTGCCGGCCCCTTTTGGATGTAATATGTCAAACCCATTCACGGCCCTTTTGAATACAATTCTTGGCCCACTAGTTCAAGCCCAAAGGAAATTGTTGGCCTGTCTGCTCGCTTTTTGTACGAAAAATTGAGTGGGATTGGGTCACAATTCCAAATCTCTTCCAACTCTGGAAGATCGTGCCGTCAAGAACATCTGTTGGCGACGGTGGCAGATGAATTGAGTTCTGGTGCTAGTGGGGATCGAAGCCCACTGATGCAAAATCTTGGTTGACCTCGGCTGTAAATTTGCGGTGGTATTAATCGGAGGTCCGTCGCGTTTGTGGTTGAGTCTCGATTTGATTCGTCGATGGTCGGCAAATTGGACCTCGGTTATGATGTTAGTTGAGTTTGAGGTCGGAGATTATACCCTAACTCGGTTCGGGCTCTCAAAATCGGTTGGGGTCGGCCATGGGCTGTCTGACGTCGGATAGACCAAAGTCGGTCCGCAGCAGTCGAGGTCGGGTCTCGGTCTATTGTGACGTCGGTTGTTTGGAGATTTGGGACCGAATTGAGCATCTCGATTTTGAAGATTGGAGATGGCGAAATCGATCCCGGTGACTGAAATCGGAGGTGAGC